TGTGTCCTTAATGTTTCGTCAGTGTTTCCTTAATGTTTCCTACATGCTTCCTCAGTGTTTCCCAAGTGTTTCCTTAATGTTATCTTAATGCTTCCTCACTGTTTCCCTAGTAATTCTTCATCTTCTTTGTTTTCCCCTGAGTTTCCCAGGAGATTTTTCAGTGTTTCCTCAGTGCTTTCCTGGGGCTTTTGTAGTAGTTTCCTGCGTTTCCCTTGTGCTTCCTTAATGCTTCATTAGTGTCTTCCCAATGTTTTCCTTAAAGGGAGAGTATTATGGGAGCGCCCGCATCGTGCTGGGGTAAAACGTGCAACCGACGTATGGAGATCTCAGTTCTTGTTGCGGTTCGAGCCCCTTGACCTTTGACTTCCTCCTCTCTCACAATCTCCTTTCCTATTAAAGTAAACAAAGGCCACCACAGTAGGATCTACTAAGTAGTGCCATTTTATCACACAATCAAGTAATTACGTTACCTCCAGTTGTTATTAAAATGCTGCATAAATAAAAAAAATAACTCAAAACAAAATTGACTTCACATCATAGCTGTATGTGATGCCTTCAAACTGGTTTCTGTCTCTGTAAGAAGCTCCTGTCCTTTCTGTCCCTGCCCCTCATGGTGACCACAACAAAGCTCCCCCATGCTGTTCGCTGATGCCATTTACAGCCTTTGTTAAGAGTGTTGGACTGAGCAGTGGTTTGCATGACGAGCTCAGCAGATGTGCAGTCCCATATGGAAGGCAACTAGGGACAATATTCATTTGCATAAATACCTATTAGATTTAAAGTGACAGGATTACGTTCGATTAACTCGCTTAGCTTGAGTTGTTTCAACATATCTTGCTATGTAAAAGCAATGAAACCCGCTTATGTTCGGCATGAAAACTTAAATTAAAGTAGTAATTTGAACATAAAACAGTCACATAAAACGAGCAACATCAGAGTTCCATGTCTTCCAGAGTTTTTCTCCAGGTTTTTCCATCTCTGTCTAACTATGTCTCTAGTTCTACCCCAGAGCTTTTCCATTCCTTCCCCAGTGTTTTCCCATTGTTTCTCCACTTCTTCTCTGTGGTTTTTACAGTGTTTTCTTCTTTCCTTCCAGGCGTTTAGACTCCATTCACATCTGTTGGAAGTGCACTAATATAGTGTGTGTGTGCGTTTGTTTGTAATGCCTTGTGGGGGCGATTTTCCTGACATATACTACGTTGTGGGGACCAATTGCTCCTTGTGGGGACCGGAGCCTGGTCCCCACAAGGGGAAACCCTGTTTTTGGGTCAGGGGTCAGATTTAGGGCTAAGGTATGAATTGAGTTTTGGTTAGGGTTAGGAAAAGGGTAAAGGTAAGGTTTAGGCTGTAGAAATGAATGGAAGTCAATGGAAAGTCCCCACAAAGATAGCAACACAAACATGTGCGTGTGGGTTTGTGTGTCTGTGCAGATGTTCGACTGGATCAGCCACAACAAGGAGGTGTTTCTGCAGAGCCACACAGAGATCGGTCGCAGTTACCAGTACGCTGTGGAGCTGCAGACGCAGCACAACCACTTTGCCATGAACTCCATGGTAGGACATCATCACAAGCTTCACTTTTTTCCTCCTAAAATTTGACCCCGAATGTGTGAAGATGACATAGAATTGTTTAAAAATGTCCTTCCCAGAATGCCTACGTAAACATCAACAGAATCATGTCAGTGGCGAGCCGGCTGGCTGAGGCCGGCCACTACGCCTCCACGCAGATCAAGCAGATCTCCAGTCAGCTGGATCAGGACTGGAAAAGTTTTGCTGCTGCGCTTGACGAACGCTCCACCATCCTCGCCATGTCCTCCGTCTTTCATCAGAAGGCTGAGCAGGTGAGATATCAGAACCGAGCGAGTGATTATTGTCGTCTGGCAAAGAAAAGCAGCTCATTTGCTCATGTGTTTGTGGAAAACGTAGAAAGCCTCTTAAACTGATGTAATGGCTCCACATCGGAGCTGAACCTGTTTCTTTCACAAACAAGCTGCTAATATCTAACTCTGCGATCACCAAGGCTCTTTGCTGCAGACACGTGTCCAGAATGTTACATGAAAGTGGGACATTTTTCTTTTTACTGCTTGATTATATTTAATAGATGAAACAGGTTCCCTGCTGATTCCTGGAAGGTTGACATGGCAACTGATGGGACTGTTTGATTCCTGCTGGGCTCTTGACATTTTATTCTAGTGTATGTTTGGGCGAATAGGAGATAAAAGAGGTGAGACATCGGATGAGTGAGAGGACAGCAGTTAGAACACAGACTCACAGGAAGACATCACAACTCAAAACCAAAAGAATTATTAAATAGAATGTTTTGAATACTCTTGTCATTAGATACAGGATGTTCCATTGCTTTTTTTAAGGTTTTGTTGGCTCTAGTGGCATTTATTTGAGAGTAGTCAGACAGAAAAGTGGGTAATGAGAGAAGGGGGAAAAACATGTGGCAAATGTCATCGGACTGGGAATCGAACCTGCGACGGCTGCGCTGAGGACTAATTCCTCCTTATGTGGGTTGTGCTTAATCCCTGTTGTGAGGGGTGCAGATAGTAAGAGAAAAATCCCTTGGCACAACTATTCTTTTTGAATTCCAACCAATTAGATCCTGAGTAGACCAGTATGCGCTCCCCTTTAAATATGGCATACAGTAGCTCAACAAACACACATACGTTGCACAATTTAAGGCTTTAATCCGGTTCCGCAGTTCCTGTCCGAGGTGGAGACCTGGTGTAAAGTGTGCAGTGAGGGTGGGTTGCCCTCGGAGATGCAGGAGCTGGAGATCGCCATCCATCGGCACCAGAGCCTGTATGAGCAGGTGACCCAGGCTTACACCGAGGTAAGACCATCACACAACCAAGACCCTTCAAGCTGCTTATGAGCAACAGACGGAGTCGTTGCTCATAGACGTGTGTTTTCTTTAATGTCTTTATCATAATGCGTGTATAGAAACACACTTTAACGTCCAGCTGCTGCTCAGGAACTGCAAGCTACCAGATGCCAAAAGCACCACTTTCTCTAATAAAACACACTGGAAATGACTTTCTCAGCATACTGTAAAGGTGCCATTATTTTTCCATGTGAACACCAGGTCTGTAGGTGATGGAGAGCAGTAATATTCCTCTGTGCTGTCAGTGTTGCAGACTGTGATTGGCTGTGATAACAGGGCAGCGATGCTCAGCCACTGCACTGACCCTTAAAGCTGTCTGAAAACACTCCACTAAATTTAGTTCTGGAGCACTCCCACTCTTCCCTGTTCTTAGCTGGCGTCTGCTGTTTTTATCTTTAGACAAGCTGTTGCTCAGTTTATGCTTATCTATAAAAAGATAAGTCTGTGTATATAAATATAAATATATAAATATATATAAACAGACATCAAATTCACAGCTTCAGACTCAGGCAGTTCGGCTTGGCAGACTTCTGCCGCATTGTTGGTTGTAGGAGTCGCATAAAAACGGTTCCATGTCTGGACTTGGTGTCTCTTCTTAACAAGATAAATGAAGGAAGCTACACACGACTTTTAACGGATATAATATGTATAAATACTGTAAACACAACTTTACTTTAGCTACTTCTCCTGGTTCAGCAAAAACATGAGACAATCCAGGTTTGATCAGTGTTTAGTATTTTCTATTTTGATGACATCAGGATCAAATGCCGTCCAAGGTTACTTAAAAAATGGCGTAATTGTCCTTTATATAGCCTTCAGAGATCAAGCTGTGGAGCTTTAGCGTTGTTAGCAGTGAACACCTCGCCACATAATGCTTCCTACTTGTTCAGATCTGGTCCATTTCTATTTTCTGAGCACATGTTGAAGTGCAGAGACTTCTCTAAAAGTGATGTGACCAAATCATGTCTGCCAACCACTAAAGGGCAAACCAAACACTTCTTCCTGTCTTACTCTGTAACAAGAGCTTCAGTTACAAACAGCAGATCCAGTTTAACACACACACACACACACACACACACACACACACACACACACACACACACTATCCGAAGCTTAGGTCTACGTCACCAAAGTCACAACCAAACATCGATCAGGTGCACTTTTGTGAGATAAATTTCATATTAAGGAGAGATATTTGGCATGCAGCAAGACGTCCTCCCTCCCCTAAAACATTACAGTTCAGTGCTTTTCCTTTCTGTGTGTGAGCGGTGTCATGTCTGCAGAACACATCTGTTTCCATGTCCAGGTGAGTCAGGATGGGAAAGCTCTGCTGGACGTGCTGCAGAGACCTCTGAGTCCAGGCAACTCCGACTCCCTCACAGCGACGGCTAATTACTCCAAAGCGGTCAGTGGATCAGTAGCAGATAACCTTTGAGCGTATTTACATGTGATCTAAACCAGATGGGGTAACCTCTCAGGTCCACTGCATCCTGGACGTGGTGCATGAGGTCCTTCACCATCAGCGGCGTCTGGAGAACATTTGGCAACATCGAAAGGTCCGACTGCACCAGCGGCTGCAGCTGTGCGTGTTCCAGCAAGATGTGCAGCAGGTATACACTCGCAAAGCTCTCAGTCCAACATAAAGGACAATGTGAATGTGCTTTTAACTCGACGCAGTGAAGGAAAGTTATAGGTATGGATTTTTCAGTCCAAACTCCAATCTTTACTATGTAAACTCGTACATTTGTGCAAGATCAACCACTGGACTCGTATTTAGTGGCGCAAGTCCTAGTTTCTGGAAACTGTTTCACTTTTGTGTTGCATGCGGTCAAAGTGGGTTCTGCCCACTGCATTCTAGTCCAGGACTACTGGACAACATCACAGTTCCTCTGTAGCTCATGGTTCTGCCTCAGAAACATGAACATGTTAGATGACACCTCCCAGGTTTTGTAGCGGGTGAAGCTGGTAGCTTCATGTTAGCTCCTACTGGTCTGGAACTAAGATCAGAGAATTTCCTCTTAGGTAAAAAAAAAAGCAACATGACCTTCACAGTGCACTGTGGCTTGATTTCAGTGTTTGATGGAAAAACTGCAGATCTCAGACCCAAATAGATCAATCTTGCTTTCATCGGTTCCCTTTAGGGCAGAAAATCAACTTTGGTGAACTCTTATCTCTTTAGCCCATGTTATTGTCTTCCATCGTGCTGAGGTTTTGAGTTGAAAACCTCAGCACGATGAAAAACTCAGCTTCTAGTTGTCACATTGCTGTGGTGTTGACCTTCCTTGATCACCTTGCAGCTAATCATTGCCTCAGTTTTGGACTTTTTGCTATTCACTGACCCACTACAATGGTAGTTTTCCTTTTACTGCCATGTCTTTGTGGTTTTGGTTTGTCTTCATTTTCTCTGCTCAGCCACTCATTTTCTGGATTTCCTTGTGTCTGCTCTCCTCTGCAGTCAGCCTTTGACCCAAAGATTGCTGCTGTCCTGAACAGTACTTGGACTGAACCATTTAACTCCAACTTTCCCAGGAATGCACTCCAACCAATCTGAACAACATCTGCTGTCTTTTTCACCTGTTTGACTGTCTGACTGCTGTTTTTATTTGGAACACACCTCATTTATTTATGGGTCAATTACACAGAATCAGCAGAATTCATGTCATGACTGTTGGGTTTGCTATTGCTTTACTACACCTACTGCTAATAATTGGCTATGTGGAAATATAATCTCCCCCAGTTACAATTATTGATTTGGTTCAGAGATGTTGGGCGGCTATTATTTTGAACACCGCTGTAATTGTTGACCGGGCCAGTCAGCTGGCTGTTTGGGATGGGAGAGAGCCGAAAAGCTCTCGCCTGTGGTTTCACTCTTCTGAGCTGGACCTTGTGCTGACCCACTTGGATCATGTCGCGCTGTGTGTAAGCATGTGGTGGAGTGTCGATGTTGGCAGCGTGTGCAGTGCAAAACAGATGAGCATCAGCACGGTGGGTCCATTCATCCCTGCTGTCCTCTCCTTCCGTCTGCTCCCGGTTTAATGTGGAGACTCCTGAGATAAAATGCCGTCTGCTGCGCTGCTACTGCTGATCATCCCACACAGACACAGAGCGAGAGGCTCGGAGAGGCGTCCGGCCACATTCCTGAAGCCTCTGTGGATATTCAGGAGCTCCAGATTCAACATCACAGCTGTATTTAGAGTGGAGTGGCTGTGATTAGCTGGAGTGGACGAGAGCGAGGGATGTGAATGCGAATATGAAGTAATAAGAACCACGTACAATCAGGTGTTCCTGGTAGTGCTGGAATGTGTCTGCAGAGGTTCTTCGTATGAAGTGATGTGAAACAGTTTGGTGTGTTCAGTAGGAGACGCGAGCAGAGGGCGGAGCAGCAGGACACCAGGTTATTTTCAAATTTTGATGTTGATTCCAGTAAAAATGTTTCATGTGAAGATCAACTCTTTTCAGACTCAGCGTTGTCTGATCCTGCCTGGTCACCAGTAGCATGTTAAATTCCCTCACCAGACGCTCGTCAGGCTAAGGAGCTGCTGACTTCATTTGGATTCAACAGAAGTGCAAATAATTGATATTTATTTTAATTATATATACATTTTTTTATTTATTGCTTATGAGACTATAGTTGTGGGTTTAAATAGCAAACCACTAACAGCGTCTTCTGGTATACATACATTTCCTGTCAACTTAACATCCTTTAATTCAAAAACACAACAAAACTTTGAAATTGAGTCAAAATGTTATTTAAAAACCATTGTTTTTGAATCATTAGTGTTTCAAACACATATGAATTCACTGCTAGTTGAATTTCTAAATATGTTCTTGAACAACCATTGGTGTCTGTGCTGCAATGTTTCCAATACAACTGGATTATTTTACTATTATGTATTAGAACCTTTTATCCCAGGTCTTATGATAGTATAATGGTGTGTACTTATGAAAATAATTATTTATTCGCCAATATTTATTATTATTTCTTGCAGTCTAATGTGATCATGTTATTCCAAGTTTTGTAATCAAAATTAATTCACATTTGTCAATTTTCCTACAACGATATCGAAATTTAAAATATGACATTTTAATAGTAGCATTACTCATCAGCTGCCTGTATCTGAAATGCTTCTGAAATGTTATAGAGGACATAGCTCATGGTTGAAATTATTTACTGACTATCACATGGTCGACCCCCTGCAGACGGCCACGTCCAGGTGTAGTTCACACTTTGACCACTGCGTTTGTCTGAAAGCGCTTCTAACAGCAGCCCCAGTATCAGAGGCACATGCATCAACCAATATTTTATCACCTTCCTAAAATAATTATCAAAATAATAAAAAAAAAAAATAATTTGTCAAAAATGACATTTTTTTTCTTTACCTCAATCACTTTTGGCAAGAAAGAAGTTGTGAACGTCGGCCATTATTTTAGGAAGATGACAGTTTTCAGTATTCACAGATCCTCTTGCCTGGATTCTCAGTGAAAAAGTTATGAAGTTGATTTACTTCACTGGTAAATCAACTTCTGCCTGTTCCCACTCTATGCACTATTTGGTCAAATAGTGCATAGAATGAATGAATCTAAAGATTCATTCAGAAGAGTCAGTTCAGCAGTATTTCTAAACTCGGAACAAAAGGTAAGAAAGTTTGTGTTAGCTTTATTATGTCTTTGTTGTAATAAATCTGCCTTTAAAAAGCTTTCTCATGTCTGGCACTTGTTGGAAAAATGCTTTTGTGGGTTCAGTGGAGGAAATGAGATGATGGACAGCTTCCATGAAAAACTTGCCAAATCCCAGTAGGATGAACTAACGGAATAACTAAATGGGGTCACTATTGCACAGGTGATTAAATAAAGAAGCTAATTAATCATATGCCTACTTATTGGGCATTTATTTATTTATACATTTATTCTTTATTATGTGAGTTTTTGTCAGCGCAAACTGCAGATTTTAGTCTTAGCGGTGTGTGTCCAGTGTGATCTGCAGGCTAGAAACACCACATGTTAACGCCGCCGCTGCTGTCATCTTCATTCCACAATATTTGTTCATTCTGTAGTGTTTGTTGAGTGAGGAGCCAGAATTGGGCCACTCGGCTCCAAACTACAAATTTAGAGAGGAGTGTTCTGATTTTGGCACCTTGGTGACATTATTATGAGACCTCAGAGAGTGGCTGTTAAAGACAAAGCCACTGGCTGAAACGGAGAGCAGAGCTGTCAGCAGAGCATTTGCCCGTTCTACATGTCACGCTTCACTTCCTGCCGGACCCCAGGGAGATGGACGCAAGGAGAGACGTGCACAGAAAGTCAGACAAGTTAAGAAGTGAGAAAGAAACTTCATGCCATTGGAATATATAAATCAGTGAAACAAAGTTGTTTCAGCCTGAGTTGCAGCAGTGCAGGATAAATGTGACCCTGGAGAGGAGCAGAGTGAAACTGAGACGGAACGTGTAATGTTGTTTCTTAGAGTCCAGCTGCAGTCAGCTGGCCTCCTACCTCACACTGAGCTCTCCGTGTCACTCCGCCTCTTCGTTGGCCCAGAACGGATCAGAGATGCGGCCCTGTGGAGAGGGAGATCGTACGGTCAGCTGATCATCCAATGCACATGAGAACCAGGGAGAGTTCAGGCAGAGGGACTGGACGGAGGCGGGACTCAGTGGGGACGTTTGACAGCTGTAAGAGTGAAAGGGAAGACGGTCATGACACCTTTAAATAAGATTTAAAAAAAAACCCTGTCACTTTCATAAATGAATACAAATGTTTCTTCTATAAAAGTCTCATTCAGCACACAATTAGCTGTGTGTGTGTGGGTGTGTGTGTGTGTGTGTGTGTGTGTGTGTTACGATTAACACACTGAGCTGAGTTCAGCTTCATCAGTCAAACCCTAAGAATCAATCAATCAATCAGTCAAGTTTTATTTGTGTAGCACATTTCAGCAGCAGGGCATTTCAAAGTGCTTTACATCATAACACAAAAACACAAAGTCATGTAGAATCAACAATCAAAACATCACATTAAGTCAAGTGCCGTCATTAAATTGATTACGTTTCAAATACGACTCTAACCAGGAGGGTTTTTAGTTGAGATTTAAAGGCACTCAGTGTTTCAGCTGTTTTACTGTTTTCTGGAAGTTTGTTCCAGATTTGTGGTGCATAGAAGCTGAATGGAGCTTCTCCTCGTTTGGTTCTGGTTCTGGGGATGCAGAGCAGAACCTGAGGGGTCTGGAAGGCTGGTACAACAACAGCAGATCTTTAATGTGTTGTGGTGCTGAGCCGTTCAGTGATTTATAAACTAACAATATTTTAAAGTCTGTCCTGTGAGCTACAGGGAACCAGTGAAGGATTTTAAAACTGGTGTTATGTTGTCTATCTTCCTGGTTATGTCAGCTTGTTTTGGAATAGTTTGCTCCTGATACCTTTTTTTGGCATATCTTTTGTCTTCCTGGTGGTCACTTTGTCCTTCGGAGCTCCTCCTTTAGCTGTCAGCGTGATTTCCCTGCTACATCTGTAGAAACCAACAGACACAACGACAAAGTGAAGTGGACTTGAATGAAACGTGGGTCTTTTATTTAAGATTATGATAAAGACATTTATTTCCCAACTAACATTGCTGTTAAATTACAACCTTCAATATTTCAAATCAAAGGCTTTTTTTTCTGTATAAATAAAATCCAAAGAATTCCCTCTAAATTCCTGTTAACTCCGTGGAAAAGCTTCCAAACTCAGGAGATGTGATGGAATAGATTGAAATAGGGATAGAGTGACTCAAAGGCAGATGATTGACTACAGCGCCCCCTAAAGGAAATGTAAAAAAAAAGAGATGATGGAAATTTGAAAGAGTACAGAGATCATAAACGTAAGATGTTAAAAATTAGTCACAAAATCAAGCAACATTTTGTTGTTTAGTTGTTTTATTAGATAAGTATTTTTATAATACAGAATAATAGATTTTTGACATTTTTTTTTCTCGTCCAGTACATTTAAATCAGAAGTAATTACTTCACATTTCGATAACTGTAATACTAAACGTCTACTGTGTAAAAGAAAACAGTTATGACTGCTGGTTTGTGGTAATACTGTTCACGGATAATTGTCTTTTTGTGTAGCAAAAAATACTCGATAAAAATGAATTCAATTGAGTTGAACTGAAGAATAACAAATGGTTTCCATCATGCAAAATACATTTTGGATTTAAAATCCATTTAAACTGCTCCACTCTGGGGCTCTGTTGGGGCGGGTCATTTTTGACCCATAAGACAAGGGGAGTAAACAGGATGTTAAGATTGCACAAGGGTTAAGCTGTCTGGGACGTGTGCATCTCTTTACATCTGGGGTTCCTGGTGGCTTTGTGTTGGGAAATGATCTAAATAAAAGTGTGTGTTCTGTATTGTGCAGGTTTTGGACTGGATAGAAAACCACGGGGAAGCTTTCCTCAGCAAACACACGGGGGTTGGGAAATCCCTCCATCGAGCCCGAGCCCTGCAGAAAAGACACGATGACTTTGAAGACGTAGCCCAGGTGAGCTTGTCTCTTATGTTGTTTAGTGAGCTTGTAGTGGACTATCCCTGCAGGTATCTTGATTTTTTTTTTTTTTTCTTGTGTGTTTCAGATTGTCAGACAGTTTTTAGTGTCGGACAAAAATTGACTATTAAATGGAAAAAGTAGTCCCTCGATGAGGATTTTGTTCATGAACGAAAACAAAGATAGCCAAACCAATCTGACCAAAGTGAAAAAAATAGTTGCCCTTTGCTGAATCATGAATTAGCGGTGTTTAACCATGCAATTCTCACACTAAGTGGATTTCAGCAGTCAAATCCAGACCTGATAACCTGGAGAATCAAGAAATCACATACTTAGAGCCTGACTACACAAAGTGTCTGGAAAAGAAAGACATCCGGAGTTACTCGCTATCCATGGAGAATGTCCCTCCTTCAGTTGAGTGGTATAACGCGACAGAACAATGACCCAAAGACCATCAGCAGATCTACCTCTCAATAGCTAAAAAAAAAAAAGAGTCTTGATTGAAGTCCTAGAAATACTTGTTGCCCATTATCACTAATGCTTAAAGGAAGTTTTATTACTGAATTATTCTTAAAGAAAGTTTTCAGATTGGTAAATCTTTTAGCCTACTTCAGGCTGACAAGCAGGTTCTGTTTAAGTGATATCTTGATTTTTCCGGGTCAGGCTGTGTTCATTCCTGGTTGTGGTTTAATGTAATTGAACTCAGCTGTCCAACAATGTGACTATCCACAGTTCATGATTTAACAAGCTGCGATTACTTTTTCACATTGGGAAACACTGATCTGGATTTTCTGGACAGAAAACTAAATTTTGTCTTTACTCAGTTTTAACTTGAACCACAGATAGAAGAAATCCATATGATTTCTATCTGTTTGAAATCTATTTGTGTGCGGGCCATCATTCTTTCTGTGTAGTCAAAATATCAATAAACTTCATGAACATGCTGATTTAAAAATATATATATATTTTTGACTGCAGTCTGTTTGTAATCTTCCCTAATTAAATCTGAATATTAGAAGTTCATGTGCCTGGTAGCAGGAAACACACAGGGCTAGATGTACATGACCATAAATGGTCATGAGGTTGTCCCAAAGATGTTCTTAATTTTCCTTCCCCAGTCCTTCATGTAGGAGCCAAGGACCCGAGGTCTGAACCAAAGAAACATGTTGAAGGTTTTAATGTGAATAAAGTGTTACGAGTTTCTTCAGCACTGAAGAGAGCAGAACCCTCAGACATCTGCTTCTCTGCGCAGCTTAAACACACACACTCGCGCACACACACACACACACACACACACACACACACACACACACACACACACACACACACACACACACACACTATGTGCTGATGCCTGTTTTCATTATGTAGCTCTTTATTTTTAAATGAGAACTGACTCTCAATCAACTCACCTGAATAGATGAAGGTTAAATTAAAAATTCCCCAAATACTTTACTATGTGATTTAAATAAATTTCCTCATGATTTTTGTATCTTTTTAAAGACTTTATTCCTCATAGCCTAAAAAAAAGTTTTTATTTTTTATGTTTTTATTGGAGCTACAGGATATTTCTGCTCCATCATGTCTCTGACCCTCGCCATCGTTTAACCAGTTGTGGTTCAGATCAAAAAATTCACTTGTGGGTTATAATTTTCTTCTGAATAATCCACCTAGCATTTGAAATATCCACTGTGACAGATGTGAAGAGACTGTTTCCTTCCTTGCCTCCATTTTACTTCCTCCTCAGCTCAGGGTAAAATACCCCCAACGTCTGAGCCGTGGAACATTTCCTGAGGTAAATCTCAGGTCCTCCCTCACCTACCAGACGAGACGGATACTGATCCACTTTTCCTGCCGATTACTGCAGAGAGTTCAGACCAGATTATGTTCCTTTATTTAAGGGCTTATTGAAAGTGAAATGTTGATGCTGCTGCCTTGCAGAAATTGAATCTGACTGGGAGACATTGTGTGTTTTCCTCTGTCACCCATCCCTCGACAGAGCTGTTTTACAAACTAATCTGGTATAGATCAGAGAGCACCAGCACGGGTAGCTTGTCGCTATTCTCCGTTTATATATTCAAGTGTGTGACTCCATCAGCTGGTGAGAGAATTAAATTAGCAGGCAGTCATTTAAACTGTCAAAACCCCAAATCTGCCACGGATAAAAAAAGTTCTGACGCTGCAGTGCATCCTGTTGGATCAGTGTGAGAGACGGACATAAATGGGACACAGCAACTACCCGGCAGGCCATAATTCCTTACTTCAGAACTTAGCTCATACTGCTTCATGTACACACACAAACCGATCGCCCCTGTCAGGCAGGAGAAGGTTTTCTCTAAGATGACGGTCACAGTGTTGCAAATAAATATTGTTTGGTACCTGATGATGAGGATGATGATGATGATGACGGCGGTCCTTTCTCCATCCTTCAGAACACGTACACCAATGCAGACAAGCTGCTGGAGGCGGCCGAGCAGCTGGCACAGACGGGAGAATGCGACCCAGAGGAAATCTACAAGGCCGCCCGACACCTGGAGGTGCGGATCCAGGACTTTGTTCGGCGGGTGGAGCACAGGAAGCTGCTGCTCGACATGTCTGTCTCCTTCCACACACACACCAAGGAGGTGGGCCATGACCTTTGACCTCAGCTGATGGTGCCATATAGTTTTCTGTCAGGCGGTGGTTTTGAGTGTGAACTGACGGTGTGCTTTGCGCGTGCATGCCTGGGTGCAGCTGTGGTCGTGGATGGAGGAGCTGCAGAAGCAGCTGCTGGAAGACGTGAGCTGCGACTCGGTGGACTCGGTTCAGGCTCTGATTCAGCAGTTTCAGCAGCAGCAGACGGCCACGCTGGAGGCCACGCTCAACGTGATCAAAGAGGGAGAGGAACTGATGCAGCAGCTCAGGTAACACGCTGCAGTCTGAGAGGAGCGGTGGCGACTGCAGGACAACTCCGTATGATAGCGGACGCACCACTGAGCTGTGGTCATGACACTGTTACTTAGTATGCCATTAAAAAGTCAGATATATCATTTGTGTCAGGTAGGGTTATGTTAACAAGACCCCAGTGGAACATAATGGTTTTTGTCTTGGTTTTTGTTTCTCAAAAAAAAAAAAAAAAAAAAAAAAAAGAACTAAAATCATAAAGTAAAAAAAAAAAAAAAAACAGACAGAGTGAAATTATCAGTAGACTTTCCTTGCGTCACTAAACATGTTTCCAGGTTGTTCAGTCTTTTGATTCTTATTCCAGTTATCCCATTCCTGAAAAAAAAAAATCCTCTTATATAAATTCACCACAAACTCATTTTGGAGAGAAAACCCAACAAATTCTCTTTGAGCAGATCAGGTTTGCTTGAAGCAGAAAACCTGAGGAAGAAAATCTCAGATGCTTGTGCTACTGTGACACATTATTTTGTTCACTTTCTTCATTTTTTATTTTTTATTTTTGCAAGATTTTTTTGAAGAAAACATAAAACAAATTACTGTTTTTATTGATGATCTGATTGAACAATTCAATCTTCTGTATGAGGAAATGGTTCACACTAAATACGAGAAACTGCCTCGGTATATTATGTTGTTGTCACATAGCATTGTTAGCATCAATATCATCATTTCTATTGATGATATTGATGCTGTCATTGCTGTTATTAGTTGTACTCTTATTTGTGGGAATATTGACACGCCTTTTGTCTTCATTCTTATGCTTAATCTAAACATACAGTAATACAAAAATAGATAACGGAAATTGAAGTTTTCTTGGAAAAATCGCAGCATGTGTTTTAGCAATTTTTACAAGCATGAAGTTCAGTTCAGGTAGATGGTATTGTTCTGTTCCTGGTGGTGTGGGTCAGTTTCCAGCTGGTTAATCTCCAGATGATGGATTGATCAGAACTCTGGGAGATCTTCAAGGATTGGGACGCTGCTGTAGAACCAATCTGCTTTAAACCTCTCCGCATCTCCATCCCTGAAATGTCTGCTGTGATGTTAATGTTCTCTAACAAACCCCTGCGACTTTTACGGAACAGCTGGATTCATGCTGAGTTTTACTGACACACTTATGGGTTTACTGGATTTTATGTTCGGGTAAAGGGAGGGAAAAGAAAAATGCTTCACTCTATCCAGATTTTTATTCGGTTAAAAAAAAACTGAAAGCCACGCATCGTTGTCCTTCCACTTCAGGATAATCAATCACTTTTTATTGTCTGTGACATAAAAGACCCAGGAAAAGGTTGTGGCGTGACAAGAAAACAGTTTTTTTCATATGCTGTGAGCTTCTCTGAGATAAGATTCCGAAACAAGAAGCTCTTTGAGCAGCTTTGTTCACGGCTCCTCGCGTTTCTTCTGCCCCCGTTTCCGTAGAGATGCGGCCATGTCGACCAGCAAGACGCCACACTGCAGTTCCATCGCGCACATCCAGGGGGTGCTGCAGCAGCTGGACGAGGCCCAGGGCCAGATGGAGGAGCTGTTCCACGAGCGCAAAATCAAGCTGGACATTTTTCTGCAGCTGCGCATCTTTGAGCAGTACACGCTAGAGGTGAAGGAACAAGAGCATGTCCATCTCACAGCCTCGCTTTAGTGAGCCACCAGCACAACTCATCTGTTCATATGTGAACATCAACTGAGTTCTTGAGTCAGATGAAGGTTTTCTTTTTTCCCTACAGTCATTCATTCTTCATTCATTTGGTTTAGCTTAGAGATTCGCCAATCCAATATTAATGTCTGTTTCGGTCCCGAAACTGAACCCAATTCTAGATTGGGTATCAGTGACAATAAGGGCACATCTCTTCCTTGCATGTTGAATGATGCCATGCTTTATTTATTTATTTTACAGTATATTTAGAATTCCCGATTGCACTTTGTGAACCATTTGAAAGAAGATTTGTTCCAGTTTATTTCTTACATTTGACCAAGATAGTCAACTGATTCTGTTTTGTTAGTTATTATTTACTTTAAATTGGCTGTTACACTCCTAATTGCACTGACTGAACAAATTAAAGTTGTTGGTTTGACACATTTGACCAACCCTGTGAAGCTATTGGTGTATTTCAGTGCACTGTCCTTGTGCAGAGTTAGCAAATAAATGTGTAATTCAGTCTTTTTTTTTGTATCGGATCATTTCTGGCCTTTACTAAACATCTGATATTTGTATTGGTATCGTAAGGAAAAAAAGTGGATCAGTGCGTCCCCATTTCATCTGGGCTGACTGACTGACCGTCCGTTTAGGTGACAGCAGAGTTGGACGCCTGGAACGAGGATCTGTCCCGTCAGCTGAGCGACACCAACCGTTCGGGTGGCAGCAGCAGCAGCAGCAGCGGCAGCAGCAGCTCCTCCTCAGGCGGTGCAGAGGACATAAGCCTGGCAGAGCAGCGGCTGAAACGGCACGCAGAGAGGAAGACTGCCATGAACAACATGACCTACGAGGTGATGCAGCAGGGTCAGGACCTCCACCAGTACATCATGGAGGTCCAAGCGTCAGGTAAAGCATGGACGTGCTTTCTCAACGAAATCCACACAATCGTGAAGTTTCTGTGGTTGATTTAGGTTTGCAGCCAGTTGGACAGTTGCTTACATCCGTAAGAGTTCACAGTGAGGCTGCAGGTCCAGAAGCTGCGAAACAAGTTCCAGTCATCACACCTCCACCATTACACAGCCTATGCTGATAGGCTGCGATTGGTCTTTTCCAGAAACTGTGCTGCAGCTTACAAAATATTACTTTATTTTAGTTTGGTCTGCAGGAATCCACTTTGAGGTCACCTGGTTTAGTCAGAGCCAACTTGGCAAACTGCAGCTGAGCTACAAACAGATTTCAGTTGCTATATTCTGCCTTTGTCTTCTAGCTGTAGAAACAACACGTTCGATCAGATCTCCTGCTGCCGCCATCATCAGTCACCTCTGAATTTGTGTGTTTTGTTCAGGGATTGAGTTGACAGGAGAGAAGGACATGGACCTGGCCTCTCAGGTCCAGGAGCTGCTGGAGTTCCTCCACGAGAAGCAGCAGGAAGTCGACATCAGCACACAGCATACACACACGCGGCTGGAGCACACCCTGCAGCTACGCCACCTACAGGCTGAGGTTAAACAGGTGAACACCTTTATTTTCTCCCTTCAGCTGGTGCGTACCAGCTGCTGACATTTTTGGAGATCTGTGTTTACAATATCTGGGTTTTGCTCCGATCCCGAGCCAGAGGAGACAAGAAAAGAAAATCCTAAAAAGGAAATAAAGCAGCGCTCCAGTGGAGAGAGACGGGATGGATTTTGCTATTAGCTGAAAATCTCAGGCGCGTTCGTGTTGGAAAAATGACAAGAACAACACCCCCCTCACCTTCCTCCCAGAACAGCTAAGATGTTTCATGTGCAGATGGGAACACGCTGTGTGCAGACAGGAAGCTCACTGCTGCTGCAGATGGAAGCAGCTGAATAATAGATGAGCTTTAAGGCAACAAGCTAATAATGCTCATCTGTGCTGCCTTCCTCTGATCTGTTCTGTGAAACCCTTCACGGATTTGCTGCAAAGTTCCAACACATCAACCGTACAGTAGCAGAGGTCCAGCGTGGCTCCTGATGAACACACAGATACAGACGCCTCAGTGTCCTCACATAACCTCCCTGCAATCCTGCATTGAACATAAAAAACAGACTTATTAAAGCGAGTTGGAGTCTCTCTGCACTAACCGAGTTCAGCCACATTTACATGAGAGATTATGGATCATTTATGCAAATCAACAGCCAGGGAATTAGCTTTGTATTCTCATAGTTAAAACGGTTGTGTTAAAACCAATACAATCTACTGAAAACCGGCAGGGAATTGTTTTGCTCTTCCAAAAAATAAATAGTAACAAGAAGCAGGTGGGAGACGTCGCAGACGTGGACTTCATCCTCTCCTTCATTAAAACGTGTCTGATGATTCAACTCTATTTACAATTCATATTTTTATTTTTTAAATACAGATCTTAAAGACAACTAAAGAACATTTAAACAGATGATTCACGTACGTATATGAATATATATACTTTTTGTCATGTACTGTAACATACCTCTGCTGCAGCCAGCTTTCTGTGGGACAGAATAAATCAATCTGATTACCACAGATCAAGTCATTAACCAGCAAAGTCGTTGAGGAGAGAGATCTGACGTTCAGTAAACCACATGTTGTTTTGCTTTCTGTTCAGAAAGAAGCATGTTTATCTTTTGGAGATCTTCACGATTTGTTCTTTGAAAGAGAACAAGTCAAAGAAGGGCAGTTTTGGTCGAATGGATTAAGGACCAAAACCTCCTTCCGTCAGTGACGGCATTGAAGATGGAACCTGGTTGGGCTTTCCGGCATGACAATGTGCAGTCGGGCTGACATCCCCACCACACAGGTTCTCCTGAAGGACTGCTTTGTCCTGGTGGGGCCCACGCCGGCTAAGCAGCCCAGGCTATCTGGTGGTATTTCAACAGCATAGAGACGGGCGAATAACAAGTAATACTAATAGCAAGATAGTACAGAGCATTTTCATATATTCTGTAGCATCACTTTTTGATTGGAGACGTCATGATGACCTGGTTCCTCCAGTTAGATGCTGTTATTAAAGGCTTGATGAACGTTTTGTCAGGCCGGGCTTCAGAGTTCTCTGGTAATGGGAAAAAAAAAAATATATATATATTTGGCTTCTGCTGAGAAAAAGACATATAACAAAAAATATATAAAAAATAAGAGCAAAACGACTGCAATCACTGTAGGAGACTGCACTGGATCACACACTCAGCCTCTGCTTTACTAAATCAGGTGTTTGTGTTATACTCACATTGGCCACAAGAGGGTGGAAAGTAAGTATTTCAACGTCATGTCAAACATTTTCTCCCAGGTGGATTGAAACGTGTGTGTATGCTTCATAACGAGAGAACATGTCTGCTCATCGGCTGTTCAGCTCTGTCCAGAGCTGTCACCTTGTTTCTGTGATTGCCTTTTAACTCCACATCCAGTCTATACAGTCTATAATAACTCTTCTCATTTGCTATGACCAAAAAAAGGTGACTTGCTAATGAGTCATAACAGGATGGAGCAGGAGACAGAGACAGATCAGGACTTTATCTTCAGCAAAGAGCTTTGTGTACTTTAGGCAATGTCCAACGCTGTAACATACTGTAACACAGTGTTTCCCAACCCTGGTCCTCAAAGCACATCGGCCTGCATGTTTCCGATGGTCCCCTGCTTCAACACGAGCTCATTCAGATGACTGCAACTCAGCAAAACCCTGCAAATCAGCCACCATTTGAAATCACGCCTTGTTGCTGAATAAAATTTGATTGGTGGATTGATTAACGCGCTGCAACTTGATGCAGCGTAGTGTAACATGCCGTAACGTACTGTAACATGTCGTAACGCAATGTAAAATTCCTGTCGCTGTGTCTTCGCGGCCCCGCAGGTACTGGGTTGGATCCGTAACGGTGAGTCCATGTTGAATGCCAGCATGGTGAACGCCAGCTCTCTGTCTGAAGCCGAACAGCTGCAGAGGGAGCATGAACAGTTCCAGATGGCTATAGAGGTACACACACGCACACAGATCCTAATTACAGTTGCTCAAAGCGGGTCCATTCTCCTTGGGCAGTAATTATTTCAATGTGTATTGGACTGAATAGTAGCAGATGAGGCACACACATCCCTGATTGCTCTGTTTGTGGGGAACCTTCCCAATCACAATAGATTCTTTATTCTCTTCTTCTTTCATTTCCTGACTTAACATCTGATCTGAACCTTAACCAGTAACTAGCTCACACTCCCAGAGGGAATGTCGCCTCTTAGTGCAGGATCAGTCATCCTGTCCCCTTTGCAGTAGATATAGGAAAACAACCATACACACACACACACACTTTGTGATCTATGTTTGAACCAGGCTTGCCTCAATAATTATTTAATTCCGCATTGATCTTGAGGAATAACCGATACTCAGGCTCTCTCACACACACACGTGCACACACGGATCATTCATATCCAACCCATTGTGTGTTGAAGAACCAAGATGTGTGTCTGTAAGCAGTCAGAGAGATAACAGTCCTTTGGTCTTTCACACACACACACACACACACACACACACACACACACACACACACACACACACAGATGCAGTATATTTCTGTGATTGTAAAAAATGTTTGTTCTTAAGTTTTTTTTACACGCCAGTGATTCAGATCAACAAACACTGATGTGAAATATTCTAACTTCACACAAAGATAACTTGTGTAAAACAAGATGCACGTTTCAAATTTTGGTTATCCAAACTAACCATGTTATATGGGAAGTAAGAGATTGTCCTTTCTTTACAGAAATCATGAATGAGCTGAGATTAACCGCAGTGTTTGGAAAGCTGTGTTCAATTTCCATAGCCACACCAAAGCCAAATTATTGCCAGACCTTAAGAGTCAAGAAATGATCTCAGTAGAACCTTTCTGACAACATGAAGTAGATGAAGGAAAAGAGCACAAATGACAACACATCTGAAAAAAATTCAAAAACAGATTAGAAGCAGTCGCATCGTTCTTTTACTCAATGTTTACAGTGGACTCCACAGCCACCCAAACAGCTAAAACCCATGAATACTTGAGAGCCTTTTAAACTCACTTAAAGCTGCCTGTTTTAATAGTTCAAAGAACACATACTTTAATACTCATAATGGAAGCTGCCTTGGCACTAACTTCTACGGTCATCCTTACCTCCGTTCCTTTAGCCAATCAGCCCAAAGGAAAAGGAAAAGTAGGCAGACTAGGTGGTTGAATACAACCCACTGATGTAACTCCCCCTGACCCCAGGACCAATCACTAGTGGGTGTAATAAACCTGCAACTAACACTAGAGGCATGGCTTCGTCCTCCAGTGTCTGTTATCTGACAGAAATCTGTTGATCGGCTGAATCTGATGACATTAACAGGCTGAGGACAGTGCAGGAGAATCATAACACAGAGCTCAGCCCTGGGCTGAACCGAAACGCGTGTTAACAGTAACATCCCGCACGTTCTCCAGTAATTAAAAGTTTATAAAATGAAACAAAGCAAACTGCTTTTCATGTTATTTGGAATGTTCTTAAACTCGCCACCATCTCTATGAAAACATGGAATTAGTTTTTTAGTCCTGGAGAATCCTTCAACAGCAATGGAAAAAATATTTAGAGGTTTTGTTCTCAGTCCATGATGTTTGATGTAGACCATAATTATTATGTGATTAAAATGCTTATGATGATGTGTATGAAGGTGCATTGCAAACTCACTGACAGCAGATCTTCTCTCCTGCAGTCTCTCTTTCACGCCACTTCCCTCCAAAAGACTCATCAGAGTGCGCTGCAGGTGCAGCAGAAGGCTGAGGTTGGTCCATTATTAGGAAGAGTGTGAGGAAGTGGTGCCATCTTTAATACGTGCTGCATAATTTTAAGTGACGAGTTCCAAAGGATCCCCCCCCCCCACCCCACCTTTCATCCCAGATGATGCTGCAGGCGGGTCACTATGATCCCGAGGCGATCCGAAGCTGTGCCGAGAAGGTGGCTGTCCACTGGCAGCAGCTGATGCTGAAGATGGAGGACCGCCTGAAGCTGGTCAACGCCTCCGTGGCCTTCTACAAAACAGCAGAGCAGGCGAGCTGCAGACCCTCACACACTCACAACAGCACGCGCGTGTGTTTGTGTGTGTGTGTGTGTGTGTGTGTGTGTGTGTGTGTGTGTGTGTGTGTGTGTGTTCTTTCGGTGCTGTTTCAAACTGCTACTCTGTATCCCCGCAGGTGTGCAGTGTGCTGGAGAGCCTCGAGCAGGAGTACCGGCGGGACGAAGACTGGTGTGGCAGCCATGAAAAACTTGGGAGTTCAGTAGAGAGTGAGCACCTGCTACCCCTGATCAGCAAACACCTGGAGCAGAAGGAAGCCTTCCTGAAGGTGAAGAACACATCAGCCTGCTCAGCTCCCGCAGACACAGTTCAGACCAGATATTTACATACACAGAATAAAAAGAAACGCACACGTTTTTCTCTGACTGTCTGGAGTTAAATCAGACCAAAGTTTCCTTGTTTTTTTCCCCCCCTTGTTAGTTAGAATGACAAAAAATATTTCTGTTTGCTAAATTCCAAAAAAAAAAAGAAAAAGTAGGGATATTTTATAGAAACATTCTTCAAATTCATGTGGTCAGTATCAGAGATAACCGTCTTTTAAACTATATGATTTGGGTCAAACATTTTGGAGTTCCTTCCACAAACTTCTGACTTGTTAAATGACACATCTGATTTAAATGGACTCACACCTATAGGTGTACTTTAAGGCCACATCTGAAACCCACTCCTTTTTTTGTTTGACATGATGGGAAGGTCAGAAAAAAAAAAAAAAATCAGCCAAGATGTCAGGAAGAGAATCGTGCAGTTGCAAAGTTTGGTTTACTGATGCTAGAAGGTGCCATATTCATGTGTTAACACAATCATACACAAATATAGACATGATGGTAACGTCCAATCATCACGCCGCTCAGGAAGGAGACGGGTTCTGTATGCCAGAGATGAACATCTTTTGGTCCAAAAAGTGCAGCTCGACCTGAGAACAAAACTAGGATTGTGAGGAAGCTGACTGAAGAAATTGTGGGTGGATTTGAAAAGGCGTGTGTGACAGAGGCGGCGTACAAACTGACCCAGTTCCACCAGTTCTCTCAGGAGGAATGGACCAGAACTCCAGCAAACTACCATCAGAAGGTTTGTGGAAGGAAAAGAAGGTCTGACACTAGTCCAAACATTTTAAAAGACAATTGTCACTGATAACTGACCAAGTAGATGTAAACTTCTGGATTCAAGGAAAGTTACAAAAATTTCTTTTTTTTTTTTTTTTTTTTTAATTTAGCAAATATAAACAATTTTGGTCGTCCTAACTGAGCTAAAACAAGAAACATTTGATCTGATTTAACTTCAGACAGTGAGAATAAAATGTGCAAGCAAGTTTTTTTTTTATTTAGTGTATCTAATTTCCCGGTTTCAAGTGTGTATCCCCGAGTTCCTCCTTCAGAGGTTCTGGTGCAGAACGAATCCTGTGGATATTTACTGGTGTGTTTCAGGCGTGCACGCTGGCTCGGAGGAATGCTGAGGTCTTCCTCAAATACATCCACAGAAACAATGTGAGCACACCTGGCGCAGCAGGCCATGCCAGAGGACCTGAGCAGCAGGTCAAAGGTGAGCTCTGCTGTGGTGCCACAGGGCCCTCTGCTGGCGGAGCGGCAGAAGACACCTCTCTTCTTTCAGGTAAGACTTAAAAAGTGTGGCGATTTGTCATGGTCAGCGTGTTTTTGTGTGCAGCCATTCTGAACGAGCTGCTGCAGAGGGAAAACCGGGTTCTGCACTTCTGGACGTTGAAGAAACGAAGGCTGGACCAGTGTCAGCAGTACCTGGTGTTTGAACGCAGCGCCAAACAGGTCAGAGCGTCGGCATTTGGGTTCTAAAAATATAAAAAAGTTATTCATTGAGTTAGGAAAATACCCCATGCTGTGGAAGAATTCTGGCCCGACTCTGGGTTCCCCCACTGCTCACAGTTTGTATCTCCTGGGCTTACAGGAAAACAACTATTAGTTCTGTATCTGAGCTTGCAGAAAGAGAGAGATGTTTGATCATTGCTCTCTGGGGACAGTCAAAGTCTTGGCTTTTTTCTCATGCTCCCTTCACTTCAACTTTTCTAGAATTAAGGTATGTGGACAGGGACCGCAATGAAAGAAGGTCCGGTGGATCATTTCTGAGTTGGTTTGTCCTGTTTAGAAAAAACTGTCCTGCTGAAACACCCGGTGATGACAAATAGCATTCTACTAGTAGATGGTCGTACTGCAAATAACTCGTGATGCCAGATCACTCTGTTCCGACTCCGGGGGTCTATGGAAGAGAAACTGGCTCACAGCATGACAGATCCTCCACCATGCCTAACAGTGGGCCTGAGGAGCCTTTCTTCATGTTCATAATTAGTTTTGCCTGCCAAACAGCTCAATCCGACCAACACACACAGTCACAGTTAAAACCCACCTTTCCATTCGGGCTGGTAGGACAGAGAAACGTCACGTTACGACACAGGAACGCATGGTTGCCACTGACGCATAGAGACACTGTTGCTCATTAACGGAGTTTTAAATCAGCAGCCAGTGATTAAAAACATTGTTCTTCTGTGTCGGGTCATATTTGTACCCCAGGGAATGAAAAAGGTTTGAATAAGTTCTCCCTGGAATAATAGGAGAAATGAAAGGAGTGAATTATAAATTCGGCTGTTACATTCATTTAAAGCGTATTATCTGAGGCACCAATAGGGATGCCGCTTGGGATTTTATTAAAAGTCAATTATACGTGTGCGCCAATAAATCAGCCAGATTTGCTTAATTTTTGGAGATCGGTGATCTTGCATGTGAAGCTGAAATTATCTACCTGAGCAAAAGTGTAAAAATCAGCCACTGTGCTCTGTTGCTGTGCAGTCGCCTGGTCATGTCTGCACTGTGAAAAAACATTAAAAAATGCCGATTTAGTTCAGGCTTTTCATGCTGTGCTTGTCTTTTTTGCTCCCAGGCTCTGGACTGGATCCAAGAGACAGGAGATCTTTACCTCGCTACACACACATCACCTGGGGACAGCAGTGAGGAAACCCAGCAGCTGCTCAACGACTACCATCACTTCAGACTTTCTGCTAAGGTAAACGGTGCACTTCACAGGAAGGGAAAACACAAGAAGTCTTCCCTTTCACAAAGCATTCGAAACATGTGAGCCGATTCTGGTTCTGAGTTCATGACGTGTGGTTTGAGACGTTTCTGGTCCCAAATAAACATGTGAGTGTGAGTGTGTCCCTTCAACCCTCAGCAAACCAAGGAAAAGGTGAAGCTTCTGATCCAGCTGGCGGACAACCTGGTGGAGAAAGGCCACGCCCACGTGTCGGAGCTGAAGCGCTGGGTCAGCACGGTGGACCGCAGGTACCGAGACTTCTCCCTCCGCATGGCCAAATACCAGGAGAGCCTGGAGAGGAGCCTGGGCATCAGCTCCGAGGTGAGCGATCAGACGGCTGCTCACGTTTCGCAGGGAACGATTGGAAATGGCTTCGAGTGGTGAGAAAACGTTTCCGCGTGCAGGACAACAAGGACCTGGAGCTGGACATCATGCCTGCGAGTTTGACCGCTGACCCCGAGGTCAAACTCCGCGATCCAAACCACGAGGTCGACGAGGAGAAGAGAAAGTCGGCCAGGAAGAAAGAGTGAGTTCAGTTCTCTGCTTTTGATCACCTGTTCATTCGCAGATAAACAGACGAAGTCGACCCGCTTCCTGTCTTACCGTGAGTCGATTCAGTCCCGGCGCCTTGAAAAGTTTTCATTCCCTTTAACATTTCTCACATTCTGCCACGTCACAGCTACAAATTTTACTCTACTTTGGAGATTGCAATAAAAGATAAATGATATGTTTTCTAAAAGTAGTTTACAGATAAGTAAAATGAATAACTGAAGGAGTCTGTTTCTCCTCTTTTCTGGCCAAACAATCCTTCTGCGTTGTGTTGATCTATTACATAAAGTCACAATGCAACACATGGAAAACTGGTTGCAAAGTGGGGGAATGTAAAAAAAAAAAAAAGTTCAGGGTGTGAATACTTTTGCGAGGGACTGTATTAAATGTTTGTACTCTGGTGCTGCATCTGTTGTTGGCGGGATGCTGAGCCGGTCTCTGCCTCAGGTTCATCATGGCGGAGCTGCTGCAGACGGAGAAGGCCTACGTCAGGGATCTCCAGGAGTGTCTAGAAGTGAGGAGAAGTGTTAGTTTTTCCTTCTTGGTGCTTACCTGTTGCCATCACCCTGCCGCCTCACCTGTATGTGTGTGTGTGTGTGTGACAGACCTATCTGAGGGAGATGACCAGCGGTGAAGAGGAGATTCCTCCAGGCATCGTCAACAAGGAGCAGATTATTTTTGGCAACATGCAGGAGATCTACGACTTCCACAACAAGTAAGGCCTGGGCAGCATCTGTGCAGAGCTGCTACACATGGGACTTCAGAATCAACGTTTTCTCTCTGATAGCACATAACTCACCAAGAGCTTCAGGCTTTGGAGGGTTTTTTGAGATAAAACGTTTTCCGTTCCCTTCCTTTTCTGCTCTCAAAACTTCATGGGTATCTTCTTCTTCTTCTTCTTCTTCTTCTTCTTCTTCTTCTTCGTGTGAGAGGAGGGTGAGTGGAGAGCGGAAGAAGAGCGAGAGAGCGAGTGATTGTATTTCTATATCTTTAGCTTTTTTCTTACTGTTTTTTCACTGGGTGATTGTGTTAACTGTTTAGTTGTACTTTTGTGTTAGTTTTGTCACGTTTTACAGGTTTTTGGTTGGGTTCGGGTGTGGCCGTCAGGCGTGCCTGGCTGGCCGGCGTCTGACGACGCCATGGTGTCTGGTGGTGGGTCTTTCTCCACGCTGACACGGAAGAACGGTGTCAAGGTGGGCGCTGGTTCTCCGTGCAGCGTGGAGGAAGTTTGTTTGGCGGTGGGAGAGGTGATTGGACATGGGTCCATCAAGTCGGCAGCTCGCATGAGTGGAGCTGTCGTCTTGTTTGTGGAAAAAGAGGAGCAGGCTCGACAGTTGGTGGAGGTAGGCGTCTCAGTGAACGGCTTGTTCCTACAGGTAACACCGCTGACATTGCCTTCAACTAAGGTAACTTTATCGAACGTACCTCCGTTCATAAGCGATGAGTTCTTGATCAAAGAGTTGTCTCGGCACGGGAAGGTGGTGTCAGCGGTGAAAAAAGTACCTTCTGGGTGTAAATCACCATTACTGAAACATGTTGTCTCCCATAGGAGACAACTGTTTATGATATTAAATCGGAGGGATGAAGAACTCAACCTTCGGTTTCATGTTAGAGTGGATGACTTTGATTACATCTTGTTTGCTACATCCTCTAACATGAAGTGTTTTGGCTGCGGTCAGGAGGGGCACATTGTAAAAATGTGTCCCGACAGGGCCGGGTTGGCCCCGTCGAGTACAACGAAGCAGCAGCCCGCTGCTGCTGAGCGGGTGGGGAGCCCACCTGGTGAGGCCGCGGCAGCGGAGGAT